GCTGGTCCAAGCCAAGAGCTTCTTCTAGGACTGCACATGGGGGCTGATGGGACGTGGTGTCACAGCTGGCAGCTTCGCGCGCTGCTGCGCGCTGGGCCTGGCTGGGACCTGCTGTGGCCTCGGGCTCTGCAGGAAGCTGGCAGGGGTGGCGCTGCTCGCCGGCATCTCCCCTTGTGAGCCCTGCCAAGACTTTCCTCGCTCCCTGAGCCAGCTTTGACCTGTGCACTCTCCTTTCCAGCTCATTTATCTGAAAATTGCGGGCATGCTGTTTCCAACCTCAGACTTCAGGCACCCGGTCGTGACGCCTGCCCTGGTGTGCATGAGCCAGCTGCTCACCAAGGTATGCCCTCTGTGGCACACATGGCCCCCAGCCTGAGCTAGGCCATGCAGGAGCCCCGGAATGGAGGAGTCCAGGCCACTCGGGAGGGTCTCGGGGTGGCGAGGGACCCCTCAGCTGCTCCGCTGCCGGGAGCAGGTGGTGGGCCTGGCCGTGTCCTCCGTGACCCAGCCCTGAGTGGCACTGCCCTGTGTGCCCTGGCAGTGCCGGGTGCTGTCCCTGCAGGACGTGGTGAAGGGCTTGTTTGTGTGCGGCATGTTCCTGGAGTATGTGTCCCTGTCACGGAGGTTCATTCCTGAGCTCATCAATTTCCTCCTGGGAATTCTCCACATGGCGACGCCAAACCAGCCCAGTCCAGGTGAGCTCGCTCGGGGTGGGAGTGGCACCCCAGGGCCCTGTGTGCCTCCCAGGAACGTGGGCACCAACGGGGCTAAGCAGCTTTTTTTGTTTTTAAGATTTATTTTTATTGGAAAGTCAGATATACAGAGAGGAGAAGAGACAGAGAGGAAGATCTTCTGTCCGATGGTTCACGCCCCAAGTGAGCGCAACGGCCGGTGCTATGCTGATCTGAAGCTGGGATCCAGGAGCTTATTCTGCCTCTCCCACATGGGTGCAGGGTCCCAGGCTTTGGGCCGTCCTCCACTGCTTTCCCAGGCCACAGGCAGGGAGCTGAATGGGAAATGGGGCCAGTGGGATTAGAACCGGCGCCTTTATGGGATCCCAGGGGATACAAGGCGAGGAGTTTAGCTGCTAGGCCACTGTGCCGAGCCCGGCTGAGCAGCTTTGGTGCTTGCCTTTCCTCAAGCCTCTGTGTGGTGCCGGCCCTGCCCTCAGCCTGGTGGCCACTTGCAGGAGCCTACGCCCCTGCAGCTCCTTGCTGGGAGCCCGCGTGTAGTTCTTGGCAGCCTGCCCCACAGCCAGGGCTGAGCTCCGAGGGGGTCCCTGGCCACGGCCTTCACTCGGGGAGTGCTGTTTCACGGTGAGCATCCCCAGAGAACAAGGTAAAGGTCCTGTCCAGGTGCGTGGAGGCGAGGGCTCGGGGAAGGGCCAGCTGTGCAGAACCAGGCCACATGTCCTAACCAAGTTCCATCCTGTCGCCTTGGTATTCAGGTTACAAGCTGGTGCACCCTTTCAGAGCGCTGCGGCGGAACTCCGAGCTGCTCCTGGTGTCCGCCCAGGAGGATGTGGCCACGTGGCAGAGGAGCGGCCTCCCACTGCACTGGGCAGCAGGGTCAAGAGGCCAGACGACAGTGGAGGCCAACCATGCCAGGTGTGTGTGTGCGTGAGTGCCCGGGCCTCCCCCCCCTCCGGGCTGGGTGGGCAGTGGTCCGTGTTGGCTGAGTAGAGCCAGTGCTGCCTCCTGCCCCTCAGGCTGTCCTGCTTGGCCGTGGGCCTGGCCCTGTTGCAGCACGCTCTTCTCCTGTATCGGGAGCTGCCCGCCTTCCCCGCCATCGCCCAGCCCCTCCGAGCGCTCCTGACTCAGCACCTGGCAGCCTGCAACCTGCCCCTTGAGCTCCAGGTAAGGCTCCCAGCACTCGGGCAGGCCAGTAAGGGCACCATCCTGGCAAAGCTGGGTGGGTAGTCACGGGATCGCTGTGCCGTACCACTCAGGAGCTGGCCCAGAGCCTGCTGGCCGACCTGGAGGCTCGGAGGCAGCTGCTGCGGCCGCTGACCTATGAGAAGACCAAGCCTGAGCCGCTGAAGCTCTTCACGCCGCGCCTGGTCAAAGTGTGAGTGGCTGGGGGGAGCGGGCCTGGGTGCTCCCTGGGCAGTGTGCGCCCTGGCCTGGCCTCCCCGTGATGCTGGCTCTCTCCTGGCAGCCTCGAGTTTGGGCGGAAGCAGGGCAGCAGCAAGGAGGAGCAGGAGAGGAGGCGGCTGATCCACAAACACAAGCGCGAGTTCAAAGGCGCCGTGCGCGAGATCCGCAAGGATAACCAGTTCCTGGCCAGGATGCAGCTCACGGAGATCATGGCGCGGTGAGGGCGCCTGCCCGCCCCAGCGTGTGCCTTGGGCAGTGCCCACCCAGGACCCCCAGGGTGGGCTGGGGGGCTGCCGGTGGGAACCTGGCTGCTGTGCCCACAGGGATGCAGAAAGGAAGCGGCAGGTGAAGCGGCTCTTGGGCAGCCTGGCCACGCAGGAGGGCGAGTGGAAGGCACTCAAGCGGAAGAAGCACCGGAGATGACACAGCGCCCAGCCGGACGCAATAAATCAGGTTTCTAGTTACATCCGTGTGGCGAGTGCTGACTGACAGGCCGGAGGGAGGGTCCTGGGCCCCCGGGGGGCCGTGGGCCCCTGGGCTGGGGCCGCAGCACACGCCCCCACCTGGTCCCCACCCAGTCCCCGGAGCTTCCAGTATTGAGCCCTAGGCCTCCGGGGAGCAGCCTGGAGCGGGGTGGGTGTTCTCCATGTTTCAAGCTTGCCTAGAGGCTGCACCCTGCCCCATGGGGAGGGAGGAAGTTCCCACGCCAGGAGTGTGGGACAGGGGGAGGCCATGAGGTGGGAGTGAGCCGTTGGGAGGGCCGGACAGCAGGCAGAGGTGGTACCCCGGGCAATTCCAACACCATCCCAAGCTGCTGCTGTGAGCTTGCTGTGATGGGGAGCCGGCGTCAGGGTTGGCACAGGGCCAGGCCATCCCCTTAACAAGCTGGGTGCCGGAGGCCAGCTCCAGCTGAGTTTGCAACTGGAGAAGGGTGCATGGAGTGGGCGTAGAGAGAAAAGAAACAGACCACTACAATTCCAGGATCATAATAGACAATGCAAGGAAGCCGTCCGCTTCATTGATACAGAAGCAGTCACAAGCTCTGGCACGGACCTTTTCCATCATGGTGCTGCAGCCACTGGACCGCACAGTGCGGCCCGAGCAGTACAGCTACGAAGTTCTCTTTGGGGCAGTTTGACACAGCTTCAGGGGGCATTACAACAGGTGGGTGAGGATCACGCAGTCCTTGCTTATCTCGGCCTGCCAGTCCCTGCCTGCTCTCAGGTCTGGGCTCCAGCCTTGGCGCCACCTGTGACAACCAGACCCGATCTTGAATTACCTCTGGGTTAATAAGTCTGGTGTGTGGGGATTGGGGCCGTTGGCATTAGTTGCCATTAGGCCTGCAAGATCACAGTTTGTTAGCCAAGCAAGTAAAGCAGGAGTTATAATGGCGAAAAGAATTGCAGTTAACAACGAGCCATGTTTACTCCATTTTGGTTTCAACTCTACGGTGGACAAGTGGGCGCTTGCAAGGATAATTCTGCCAGTTGTTTAGCCTTAAGGCAGGGCATCGTCCATGGCGGCGTCGCAGCCAGGAAATCCTCAGTAAATGGCACATATTGCTCAGTAGCACACTCCTGCAATTCTCATTCCACAACTTGTCGGCTGGAGGAGGAAACATCGCAGAGGGAGAATAGAGAGATCAGAAACAGGAAAACTACAAATTCCCACTGCAGCCGCAGCTCGGTAACCCTGACGTAGTCTGGAAGCAGCCATGTTAGTGCACAGATTTATTTGTTTTCATTGGAAAGGCAGAGAGGAGGAGAGATGGGAAGATCTTCCGTCTGATGGTTCACTCCCCAAGTGAGCACAGTGGTTGGAGCCAAGCCAATCCAAAGCCAGGAGCCAGGAGGTCCCCCCGGGTCTCCCACGCGGGTGCAGGGTCCCAAAGCCCTGGGCCGTCCCTCCACTGCTCTCCCAGGCCACAGGCAGGGAGCTGAGCCTCCCAGACCAGAAGCGGCGCCCAGATGGGGTCCCAGTACGTTCAAGGCTACGCTCTCGCGCTGGGCCCCAGCACATTCTTGAGCTGTTCCAGTCAAAGGGCCGTAAGAGCACTGGAGACAGCACACGTTGTTGAAGGCCCGTTCACCAAGTGACCACACTGGTTGTTAAAACAATGCCTCAAAGATGACGATTCTTAGCAGGGTGACCTGCACCTGCAGAGGGAGGTGAACTGCTCAGCTGGTTCCAGAGACATCCCGGGCCCTGCCTAGCAGGGGAGCTGTTCTCACCCCTTCGAGCCGTCCACACCTGCATGGACCCCAACAGCCGCCAGCCCCTGCTCTCACACCTGCCAGAATGGCCGGCCCCCGCCCCAGGGATCAGGCGCTGGCCGCGCCGCCGAGCAGTCGGGGGGCCCGGCACCTAAGCGCCCGGCGAGGGACGGCTCCCGTTGCCGTCCAGGCGAGCCCCGCCAGCCGCCAGCGCCGAGGCCGCAGCCCCGGAGCCCGAGGCCGGTCCGGGCGCCCGCGGCTTCCCGGGAGCCGCTTCCCCGAGCGGCGGGCGAGCGCTCCGCCTGGCCGGCGTCACCTCCGGGGCGGGACCGCGGCGCGTTCCGGCGTGGGCGCCTCTGCCAGCGGGGCGGCAGGTGAGGCGCCCGGGAGCAAGTCGTGCTTCTCCAGGCGCGGCGATCGCCCGCGCACCCCGTGCCTCGGTTCCCCGCGTGGCGCGTGGCGCGGGACCTCAACCCGGCCGCTCGAGACGGTTGGCCTGCTGGCCGCGGTTTCTTGCGCAACGTCCGGGCCGAGTTTCCTGCCGCGCGGCCCCGGCTTGGAGAGCGGGGTCGGCACGCCGCAGATGCTCACGGGGGCGTGAGAGGGGCGCGGCTGCCCCCGCGGGCGGGAGACCCCCCGGAGGCGCCCTCACGGGCCGCGCCACGCTCCCCCCAGGTCAGAGCTGCCCGCCATGAGGTGGGGAGGGGACGGCGGCTGCGCCCCGCGCCCGCCCATCCGGCCTCAGCCCGCGCCCCGGCGCCGCGTGCTCACCGTGGTCTTCCTCGGCCTCCTGCTGGACCTTATGGCCTTCACGCTGCTGCTGCCCCTGCTGCCTGGGCTGCTGGAGAGCCACGGCCGTGCCCAAGTGAGCGCCCCCCACGCACACCCCGGGCCCCCCACGCACCCGCCAACCCCGCGGACGTCCCCAGCGCGCTGTCCTGCTCCACAGGACCCACTCTACGGCGCCTGGCAGCGCGGCGTGGACTGGCTCGCCACGGCCATTGGGATGCCGGCCGAGAAGCGCTACAACAGCGTCCTGTTTGGGGGTGAGGCCTGGGAGGGGAGTGGCCCTCGGGGCTGGGGCCTGGGGACACTGTTAAGGGCCGCCCTGTCCCCAGGTCTGATCGGCTCAGCCTTCTCCCTGCTGCAGTTCCTGTCGGCGCCGCTCACGGGGGCCTTGTCCGACTGCCTGGGGCGGCGCCTGGTGATGCTGCTGTCCGTGGTGGGTCCTCAGCCTCGTGGCCATGGTGGCCAACACCCTGGAGAGGGGGCATTGCAGAGCCAGCGGGGAGGGGCCGCTGGGGACCCCAGGGCGGAGTCTGAGGTTGCTCGGTTACCTGGCTGCCAGCCTCAGGTGACACCCCTTGCCCCAGCAGACCGGCCTGGCCGCATCCTACGCAGTGTGGGCCGCCTCTCGGAGCTTCACTGCCTTCCTGGCCTCCAGGGCCATCGGGGGTGTGAGCAAGGGGAACGTCAGCCTCTCCACAGCCATCGTCGCTGACCTGGACTCGCCCCAGGCCCGCAGCCAGGGCATGGTGCGCACGCCGGGCTGGGCGGCCTGGCCTCTCCCTGCCCGCCCGGCCTCTCCCTGCCCCCCCAGGCCTCTCCCTGCCCGCCCGGGGCCTCTCCCTGCCCGCCCCGGGGCCTCTCCCTGCCCGCCCGGCCTCTCCCTGCCCGCCCGGGCCTCTCCCTGCCCTCCCGGGCCTCTCCCTGCCCGCCGGGGCCTCTCCCTGCCCGCCCGGCCTCTCCCTGCGGCAGCTCACTTGGCTGCCTCCCGCAGGCGGTCATCGGCGTGGCCTTCTCCCTGGCCTTCACGCTGGGACCCATGCTCGGAGCCTGCCTGGCCCTGGAGTCTGCGCCCTGGGTCAGCCTGCTGTTGGCTGTCTGCGACCTGCTGTTCCTCTTCTGTTTCCTGCCAGAGACGCTGCCCCCTGAGAAGCGGGTAGGGCGAGGCAAGGGCACTGATGGGCCGGTGTGGGGTCTGCAGGCTGCCTTCTGCTGGCAGCCCGGCAGCCTGGCACATCCCTCCCACACCCCCACAGGCACCCTCCATCGCCCCTGGCTTCCGAGCCGCCCTGGACCTGCTCAGCCCGCCAGCCCTACTGCGCTTCTCCTCGGTGACCGCTGCTGGTCCAGCCCTGGCTGCGGGAGACGGTGAGCAGCCCGGGCTCTCCAGACACGCGCCCTGCGCCACCTGGGCCGCCCACCAGCCAGCCTCACAGTGTGCCCGTCCCAGGACTCACGGTGTGCCCGTCCCTGGGACTCACAGTGTGCCCGTCCCTGGGACTCACGGTGTGCCCGTCCCTAGGACTCACGGTGTGCCCGTCCCTGGGACTCACGGTGTGCCCGTCCCTGGGACTCACGGTGTGCCCGTCCCTAGGACTCACAGTGTGCCCGTCCCTGGGACTCACAGTGTGCCCGTCCCCGGGACTCACAGTGTGCCCATCCCTAGCCTCACAGTGTGCCTGTCCCTAGCCTCACAGTGTGCCTGTCCCTGGGACTCACAGTGTGCCCGTCCCCGGGACTCACAGTGTGCCCGTCCCCGGGACTCACAGTGTGCCCGTCCCCGGGACTCACAGTGTGCCTGTCCCTAGGACTCACAGTGTGCCCGTCCCCGGGACTCACAGTGTGCCCGTCCCTAGCCTCACAGTGTGCCCGTCCCCGGGACTCACAGTGTGCCCGTCCCTAGCCTCACAGTGTGCCCGTCCCCGGGACTCACAGTGTGCCCATCCCTAGCCTCACAGTGTGCCTGTCCCTAGCCTCACAGTGTGCCCATCCCTAGCCTCACAGTGTGCCTGTCCCTAGCCTCACAGTGTGCCTGTCCCTGGGACTCACAGTGTGCTCGTCCCTAGCCTCACAGTGTGCCCGTCCCCGGGACTCACAGTGTGCCCATCCCTAGCCTCACAGTGTGTCCGTCTCTAGCCTCACAGTGTGCCCGTCCCTGGGACTCACAGTGTGCCTGTCCCTGGGACTCACGGTGTGCCCGTCCCTAGGACTCACGGTGTGCCCGTCCCTAGGACTCACAGTGTGCCCGTCCCCGGGACTCACAGTGTGCCCGTCCCTAGGACTCACAGTGTGCCCATCCCTAGCCTCACAGTGTGCCTGTCCCTGGGACTCACAGTGTGCCTGTCCCTAGGACTTACAGTGTGCCTGTCCCTGTGACTCACAGTGTGTCCGTCTCTAGCCTCACAGTGTGTCCGTCCCTGGGACTCACGGTGTGCCCGTCCCCGGGACTCACAGTGTGCCCGTCCCTAGCCTCACAGTGTGCCTGTCCCTGGGACTCACAGTGTGCCTGTCCCTAGGACTCACGGTGTGCCTGTCCCTAGGACTTGGCATCCTGCGCCGCCTGGGCCTGGTCTACTTCCTCTACCTCTTTCTCTTCTCCGGCCTGGAGTTCACTCTTGGCTTCCTGGTCCACCAGCGCTTCCAGTTCAGCAGGTGGGGCGTCCTCAGTCCCCGCCCCGAGGCTGCTGATGCCCCTCCCACCGTCCCTGGCCCCGCCCCGAGCCTGCTGACGCCCCTCCCACCGCCCCTGACTGCCCTGAGCCTGCTGACGCCCCTCCCACCGCCCCTGGACCCGCCCCCGAGCCTGCTGACGCCCCTCCCACCGCCCCTGACTCCGCCCTGAGCCTGCTGACGCCCCTCCCACCGCCCCTGGACCCGCCCCCGAGCCTGCTGACGCCCCTCCCACCGCCCCCCAGCCTACAGCAGGGAAAGATGTTTCTCTTCATCGGGCTCACCATGGCCGCTGTCCAGGGCACCTACGTGCGCCGCCTCGGCCCTGGCAGGGAAGTGGGAGCGGTGAAGCAGGTAGGGTCCCGCCAAGTGGGGCTGGGGGAGGGGTGCTCCCAGCGGTCCTGAGGCTGCCCCTGCCCCGCAGGCCATCCTGCTGCTGGTGCCCGCCTTCCTCCTCATCGGCTGGGGGCGCTCGCTGCCCGTGCTGGGCCTGGGGCTGCTGCTCTACTCCTTCGGTGAGTGGCCCTCGAGGGCGGGGCGAGGCGAGTGGGGTGCCCTGCAGGCCTCCAAGCTGACCCCCGCCGTGTCTCCTCGGGCAGCTGCCGCCGTCGTGGTGCCCTGCCTGTCCTCAGCCGTGGCCGGCTACGGTGAGTGCCCTTCCCCTCGCGGTGGCCCTGGTGGCAGGGTGGCAGCTGACCGGGTCTTTCACCCAGGCTCACCGGCACAGAAGGGCACGGTCATGGGCACGTTGCGGAGCCTGGGGGCCCTGGCCAGGGCAGCAGGACCCATGGCGGCCGCCTCAGGTGAGGGGTGAGGGCCGCCCCTCGGGTCATAGGCCAAGGGGTGGCCAGGCCCTGCAGGACTGGGGCGGTGGCCAGCGCCGGGCTTCTCTCCACAGTGTACTGGCTGGCTGGGGCCCAGGCCTGCTTCACGCTGTCCTCGGGGCTGTTCCTACTGCCCCTCGCGCTCCTGTGGAAGCTGCAGCAGCAGGTGCAATCCAAGGCCGAGTAACCTCCCCAAGCTCTCCCCACCCACGGGGCTCACCCCCGACTCTCTGCCAGCTCCCTGAGGTGGCCATGCCCGCACTGAGCCAGGCTGGCATGGGGCTGGCGACCCCAAGGCCCTGGGCCAGCCCCCACAGTGCTTCACCCGCTCATTGCCAAGCGCACTCCGCCCATCCCGGCCTCTGCTGAGGGAACAAGGGAGTATAAACTGCTTCCGGGTGGGACAGGGACACTGGTTAAAGAGTTTTATTTGTGAGTAAAACAATACAGTGAAGCCAGGCCCCCAGCCTGTGCAGAGCCGGTTCCTGTGTGCGGCTGTGTGGTGTGGTAATACAAAGGTGTCAACTACAAAAGTGGAAAGAAGTCATTGCATACGTGGGGCCAAGAAGGAACAGGGCTGAGGGCAGTCCTGGGGGGTGGGCAGACAGGGCAGGACCACCCAGCAGGCCCACCCGCTGGCGCCAGCTCTGCCGGGAGCCTCTCCTGGGGCTCCCCAAGCCAGCACCAGGCAGCACCCCGGTGCGGGTCCCCCTGAGCACTGATTCAGAGCACATCCCAGCACGATGGTTCTGGTCACTGTGGGAAGCAGCCCTGCCTGGCCAGGCAGGGACTAAAGCAGCAGCAGCCCGTCCGTGTCCACGGTCAGAGGCCTCACTGCAACCCAGCAGGAAGGTGCGAGAAAGGACCCTCCCGCCCCCTTCCCATGTAGGGGAGCCACGTGATGCTCCAGACCTGGTCGGGGTGATGGGTCAGACCATGCATAGCGTTGCGCTGGGGAGACCGCGTCCAGCCCCAGCTCAGGGCAGCCGCGGTGCCCGAGGCTGTGGGCAGACATGCGAGTGGCCCGTAGGACCAAGGCTGTGGGCAGGAGCCAAGCACGACATGGAGCAGGTGCGCGGTGGAAGCTGAGGGCGCCGAGCAGGGGTCAGCTGGAGGGAGGGCGCCGAGCAGGCTCAGCTGGAGGGAGGGCGCCGAGCAGGGGTCAGCTGGAGGGAGGGCGCGGGGCGCGCTGCGGCCTCAGGAGTCGCCCTTCTTCTTGCTCTTCTTCAGGAAGGACGGGGTGCGGAACTTCTTCTTCTTCTTGGAAGGAGACTTGCCAGGAGACCCGTCACTGCCAGGGTCCCCGGGCGCCGCGGCCTCAGCTGTGGGCCCTGGGCCTGCGTCTGGGGTGCTCTCTGCAGGGAGCCTGGGGGGGCCTGGGGGGTGCTGGACTTCCTCTTCCTCCTCTTCCACCGGCACCGCTGAAGGCTCAGGCTCGTCGGGGGACAGGTCGGGGAGCGTGGGCCGCAGGGTGGTGGCCTCACTGTCATCTCCTGTGCGTGACACAGGCTCTTGCGGGGCGTCTGGGGAATTGGGTGGGGGCAGAGTCACTCCAGGTTCTGCTGACCTCACAGCAGGTGCTGGGGACACGATGCCCAGCACTGGAGTGTGAGGGCTTCTCAAATCAACCCAAGTCTGGGTCCCCAACACCAGGCAGCGTGGAGGCAGCATGGCCACAAGGCGGGCCAACGACCAAAGACAGGAAGCAAACAGGCTGACAGTGGCCCAAGAGGTAGGCTGCGTGGCAAGCACTGGGTGCACACACAGCAACTTCACAACTTGACTTAACTCAGGAGGGCTGAGGGGCTCCTGGAAAAGCAGCACGGGTGGCCTGCAGGGGAGACCCCCGGGAACAGCAGTGCTCAGCATCGGGGCGGGAGTGGGGGCCTGGGACTAGGGCCTTCCCTGCCCAGGCTCCAGAGCAGAGGCTCCGGCCTGCCGGGAGGGTGTGAGCAAATGTCACGTCTGTTAATGGTACCCACATCCCTGCGGGTCTCTAACCCAAGCCCCAGTGTGAAGTGAGGTGCTGCCAGCTGGGACAGCCGGCTCTGAGCCGTCCCGCCCCGCGCTCGCAGGAGGCCCTCCCCAGTGCAGCTGTGTCTGAGGGACAGAAGACAGGACACGCAGGGGAGTGGAGCGCGGTACTTACTAGGGCAGCAGGTACTCCCTAGCGCGTCCGCCTCCTGCTCGCAAGCAGCACAGGGAGAGAGAAGCACAGGAGAGGTGTGTGCGGTCGTCACGGCCACCAGGACAGAGGAGGCCGGGCCAGGGGGTGGACACAGACCAGGGACAGGCAGGGGTGCACGCCAAGTCACTCCAGACGACAGGGCAGCCAACGGGCGACACTGACATCACACCCCGGAGCTTGCCCCCGACCGCACCCTGCCAGCCCCTGACCCAGCCGGCTGGGGTCTCGCCCACCTCCCTCAGGGTCCCTCCCTCCCCACAACGCTCACCTTCTTCAAGCTTGACGGGGGTGCTGGGGGGTGTGTGGGGGGCCACCGTCTGGTCGGGAGGGCACGTTTCCTCTGGCTCCCTGCTCTCCTCCAGGTTGTCTAGGCACACACACACAGCAAGGGCAAGGAAGTGAGCCCTGGCATCCTGCCCCCAGTTCTCGGGAAGACAACCAACTGGATCAAAAAGCAGTGTCTGGCCCTGCTGAAGAGCCTGGGCGGCCTGCCCTTCCCAGGGGGAGGTGGCATCCGGCATCCCTCAAACCTGGGTTTGCCGACTAGAGGAGCAAGTGCAGGGCCTGGGCCCTGGATCCAGGACGTGGCCCTGCCCCCATGGAGCCATCGGGGTCAGCACCCCTCCACCCTTCCTTCGGGAAGCAGGAGGAGAAGCTCCTGTCTGCTGTGCTACTACCCAGGCCCCCACAGGAGGGGACTCCCTGGCCAGCCAGGGTCCCCATGGCAGGACGGTGGGACCTGGAGTCCACACAGTCCTCTCTGGGGTCCCCAGGGCCTCAGCCCCCCATGTCCAGCTCCAGTGGGTAACAGCTGGACACGTGGCCTCACACAGGACAAGGCCCTGGGCAGGCGGTCAGGGTGCAGCTGCGGAGCAGACTCCTCCGTCAGCCGAGCACCAGCATGGCCCACGGGGGCTGTCTCACACGTCCACCTGGTCCCTGGCAGGAAACTGCTGCCCATGGCTGCCTGGGGCCAAGGGCCACTGGGACAGGGCAGTCTCCTGGTAGAGCCCAAGGAGGCTGAAGGCAAGCACCCAACTCCATACAGTTGTAGTCAGGCCCAGGAGGCCCACGGTCACTGTGGGTGGCCCTTTAGACACAGTGTGGTCACCCATCAGGGCTCTCTGCTCAGGCTTTCCTGGTGCCAGTCAAGGCGGGAGCTCAGGGCAAGGGTGTGATGTTCACGCAGACCTGTCCCGTGCAGCATGCCTGCATCTGCTTGCCAGCCCTGAGCTAGGGAGCCTCCTGCCCTCTCAGGATGGCACCAGCCTTGCCAGGAGCCCTCTGTGTGCTCAGGTGTGCACGCCAAAGACCTCGGATTTCCTGCATGGCTGCCCCAGGGGCACACAGAGCCCTGTTGGAGATCTGGGACTCCTGCCCAGCCTTGCCTGCTTTGTGCCGTGGTCAGCCCCACCTTGCAGCATGCCACGCAGCCTTAACCCACGAACCTGACAGATATGCGCCACACATAGCCCCTGAGGCAGGCTCTTCTGTGGGTGCTCGGATGGGGCCGTGTGGACACCCACAGGGAGGGTGGCCAGTACGCCTGCACCCAGCTGCCCTCTGGGCATGCCCACACCTGACATCTTGGGATAAGAATGCAGGACGAGCCTTGACCGGCCAGCGACGCCCTGCTCTGTCCTCAGCGGGGGAGGCTGGGATGCAGGCAGTTTGAAGCCCCTGCGCTGGCTCGCTCACCTCCCGAGCGGCCCTTCTGCTTGCGCTCCACCTCCTTGCGGTACTCCTCCAGCTCACGGTCGGTGAGCGTGTTGAAGGGGTTGGGGCCTGTGGTGCTCACGATGACGTGGGGCTGGTACTCCTTCTCGATGATGGCCTTGGAGGCTGTCACCAGCTCACCCTGAGGATGAGAAAGTCGCCTGGTCAGCAGGAGCCTGACCATCAGGACTGCCCCTGACCCCGAGCAGGCTGCAGGCGGACCCTGAGGTGCCACGGCCAGAAGCCCGAGGCCCTGGCTGACCTGCAGCCTCCAGGGCAGAGGGTGTGGAAGGGTCTGCTGTGGAGAGCACCCTGGCAGGGGGAGCCCAGCCACTTCCAGGTGGAGGTTCCCTCTCCCCGCACCCTTACAGCATCTGTGCTCGGGACGCAGTACTTGTCGGGGTGTGGGGGATGGGGCCGAGCAGGTCGTGAGGTGTCCGTGGGCAGTGCCTGACGGGCTGAGGGCAGGGTGCTCAGTGAGCTGGCACTCCACACACAACTGGGTGATGGTATGCAGACACAACCCAACACAAAGTGCAAGATGACAGAGCTGCTGGAAGGCGGCCGGCGCACTGGGCTGTGTGCAGGGCCCGCCGCCAGCGGGGCACAGGCAGGCAAGGGGAGTGCTCCTCTGGATGTGGCCCCCACTCAGAAGCAGCTGCCTCGCCTGCCAGCCCTGAGGCCCAAGCTTGACCTCAGCTACCAGTGCCCATCACTGGGCAGCACGGGGCCCTGCATTTCGACCTTCCTGCCAGCCAGCGGCCCCATCCACCTCCCCCCACCCCCAGCACACACAGCCGAGGGCCAGGCTGTTGCAGCCCATCCAAAAACTGCTGGGGCAGAGTGTCCCTGCCTGGAGCAGCTTCGAGAGCAGCTGACCAGCCCAGTCAGCACAGAAGGTGCTCCCGCCCGGCCACTGTGTCAGGCTGGTGACCACAGTGGGGACCCCTCAGGGAGGATGACCCACAGCTGGCCACATGTGGATGTATGTGCCTCAGGAGAGGACACACATGGCAGTGCTAGGTGCACACGTGCAAGGCGCTCCTGGTGGGCACCCCGAGTCGAGGGGCGAGGGGTGGAGCCTGCTTGCTGCGTGTGCATAGCAGGCTGCATGGCCTGGCCCTGGCTCTAGACTCACACCCCCGTCTCCATGTGTTGAAGCCACGTGGCGTGACCAAGCCCAGCACTGCGGTGCGCGGTGGGTTGCAGACCCGGAGGGAACACGGCCGGGGGACAACAGCTGCAGCCAGAGTGAGCGCCGGGGGCAGCACACAGTTGGGTACTCTGCCACCTGCGGCAGGGGTACCCCCAGTAATGGGCACTGTGGGAAGTGGGCAAGCAGTCACCGCGTGACCAATAGGCCCAGAAGGCATCCTGGCACAAAGTGGGCCAGCTGCTTCCTGCCCAGTGCACGGCAGACTGTCCCCACGCCAAGGGCTGCCCAGAAGGGATGACGGGCAGATGGCCCCCCGGCTGGAATGTGCAGTGCCAAGAGGCCCACCTCCGCCTCCCTCGCACACAGTTCCTTCACTGGCTGGGCGAACACACACACACCCGGGAGCCCACAGTCCGCTGCGAGCCTGCTTCCTCCCCGGTGATGCTGCACCCCTAGGGACGCCCAGCCCGCAGACTACCCCCAGAGACAGCCTGGGAGCAGAGGGCAAGCACCGAAGCTGGGACTGCCCCTGCAGTCAGGGACCAGCTACCCTGGACGCTGAGCTCTCGGCAGGCGCCCCACGCAGGGGATGCCGTCCCATACACAGCTCTCCCCGTTCTGCAGTCTACAAGCATACACACAGATTACAGTTTGGAGTTTAAGATTTTGGGGTGCTATAGCTGCAGTGTGATGCTAGCAGCACCCTATGGGTGCCCCACTTCCAGTCTGGCTCTGTGCTATCGCACTTGGGCAAGCAATGGGAAGATGGCTCAGCACCTGCGCCCTGCACCCACACGGGAGACCAGGAAGGAGCTCCTGGCTCCTGGCTGCTGAAGACACTTAGGGAGTGAACCAGCGGATAGAAGCTCTCTGTCTGTCCCTCTATTAATCTGCCTTCCAAATAAACAATATTTTAAAAAATAAATCCGAAGCCTTTTCTCCCTGTAGCATTAAACATTTTATCTACAGGTTTAGTTTTTATTTAGTTAGTTATTTGAGAGACAGAGTAGACTGTTGCCGCTCCTTAGTTCACTCCTCCAACGTCTGCAACACTTGGGGTTGGGCTGGGGCTAAAATTAGGAGCCAGAAACTGCATCCAGGCACCCAGTGTGAGCACAGAGGCCCAGTGACCAGGACCGTACCACAGCACCCCAGGGTGCCTCCCCAGCCTGTGCTCCTTGGAGCAGATAGGCCCCACCTCATTGTCCACTTCTCTCTCAGTGCCGTGACCCCTGACTGCCGTGGTCAGTTGTCACAGCCCAGGCATGAGCACTTAAAGATCATTCATTCGAGTGACAGAGAAAAACAGAGAAGGAGGGAGGGATGGAGGAAGGGATGGGGGAGGGGAGGAGGGAAAAATGGATCTTCCATCTGCTGGGTCCCATCCCAGATGGGCACAACCGCTGGGGCTGGACCAAGCCGAGGCCAGAAGCCATCAGCTCCGTCCTGGTCCCCCATGTGAGCAGCAGGGCCTCAAACCCTTGGGCCACCCTTCCCCAGGTGTACCCTTCCCCAGGAGAACTGGAGGGGAAGCAGAGCTGCCAGGATTCCAACTGGCACCTATCTGGGTTGCCGGCGCTGCAGGCGACATTTAGCCACTGCTATACCACACCGGCTCTGGCCCTCGGCAGTCCCAGGAAACTGCACCAGCCCAAGGCACACACGGACTAGGCAGATGCCGCCCTGACCACACCGCTCACTCAGCCACGACAGAGGAGCCGAAAGCTGAGTGGTGACAAGGAGGGAGGGGGCAGAGCCCGCACAGATCACCTGGTAAGGGAAGGGGTCGGGCCGGCAGAGGGAGAGCGGGGGGCAGCGAGGAGCCCGGGGCCGAGGGGCGGTGAGTACCTTTCTAACAGAGAGAGGTCTAGCGGGGCTAAGAGTCTGCTCTGTGAGTGGGAGCCCTTCGATGGTCTCCGTACAGTCAGAGAGGGGCGCATCCTGCAACGGCAAACTCAGTGGTCAGCGCGCACCGGCCCGGCCTCGGGCAGCAAGCAGGGCGCAGCGCGGAGCCAGGAGCAAGCATGCAGTGAGGCGGCCGCGGCAGCACAGCGCCGCGTGCACACACCGAACAGAGACCAGGACTGGCCGCGCCAGCAACGCAGCATCGGAGGTGCCCGGGCACAGTGTGGTGTGTCCCTTTCAGAGATAACTACTCACACAGTCACCTTCCGGGTGCCACCAAGGACAGCCCTTCCCAGAACTGTGTGTGACCTGGGCCACGTTCCAGGGCGGCCCTGTGCGCACACAGCGAGGTGTACCAGGGCAGAGTTCATGAAGCCCACCCCAGGAGTGCCTGGCACAGCATCGCGCTGGAGCCAGGGGCATGCCTGGCCCTGAAGCTAGGGCCAAGCCCCGCCCTCCCGCACACATGCACCCCGAGGCAACACCCTTGCATGCCGTGCTGGGCGAGTTCAGGGCACAGTGGCCAGCTTCCTCCTCCCGAGGGAGGTGCTGTGCGGACACCGGCCGCCTGAACACTTACCTGCTCTTAGGTGGGCATTTCCCATCTAAGAACACCTCTGGGACAGCCAGCCACAGCCTCACTACCCACCACTGCCAGAGAGACGAGCCTCACCTGGACAAGGCTCCTGTCCATCAGCACGCCACACAGGACCTGGGACTGAGGGCCAGCCGTCTTGATGTCCTGTAAGTTTTGCTCTCGGATCTGGGAATGAAGAAACACAGGTCAAGAGAAGAGAGAAGCGTCCGGGGCTGCACGGCACGCAGCCGGGCCCCCAGCCGGCGCTCCCACTCGCCAGCCCAGCAGGCATGACACAGGGCACATCCCGGTGGCCCGCGAGCCTGCCTGAAGCTACTGGAGTGAGCTGCTCAAGGCCCAGTGGGTCAGGGATGCAGGGCCATTCCTGGCCCCTCACACCCACTGGGGACAGTTTCAGCGGACACACCTGCCGGAATACACCTTAACTGGGGAGACATGGACTTGGCCCAGGCCCCATGGCCTGTCAACACTGACGAGCCGTGTTCTAACACACCAAGTCCAGCGCCCAGCTCTTGGAAGGAGCCCTGAAAGGCCAGCCCATTGCCCTGCCCACCACCAGGCTCTGCAGCTCCCATCTAGCCTCGAGCCAGCCACAGCGGAGCAGCAGCTCCCCCTCCCGCACGTCCAGCACCCGGGGTCTGTACGCACCTTGTTCCTCATCTCCTGGACCTCTTTGGGGTTAGTGTTCAATGGAACAAACAGGTTAGGGACGGCAGAGGTGGAGGTTCTATGCCCATCCTCTTTAGTCCACTGCAATGGCAAGAACAGTTGGGAAGTCAGGATCGAGACCGCGACAGGGACTACCGACGGCACCCACCTCGTGGCACATCTGGGCATGCACTGCGCGTCACAGAGAGGACTGAACCAAGGACACATCTCCTGGGCCACTCGGGACATGGCCACACGGAATCCAGAGAAGTAGCAGAGACAGGCTCACAGTGACAGGCAAGGCCCCTTAAAGCTCAAGGCCTGGTGCCCTTGGGCCAGCCAGGCGAGGCCCCACGGGCCCACTGGTTCACCCTCTCCGAGCCCGACCCCCAAGCCAGCTGGAAGCGTGAGATGGCAGGGGATGAGAAGCAGTGTGATGCTGCTCCCGGGGCAGGGAGAGAGGCAAAGTTGCGCTAAAACAAAGGAGAGCATCAGAATGTGCCGCTTGTATAACTAGTTCAACCCGGAAGTCGGTGCGTGGGAACTCTCATATACAGAAATAAGAGCTGGGTGATGTGAAAACGCAACACTCCAGTACCGGGTTCACCCAAGGGACTGGAGGCGTGCCACCGGCCGCCAGGCCGCCGAGGTGCCAGCACATGCGGCTGCAGGCCGCACCTTCTCACGCGTTTGTACTGCTCTCCAATCAGACACCTAAGCTTTGGGGTCGAATTCTTTTTCTCAAGCATGAGGAGCACTGACCTTTAAAGCAAGCCCATCCGGCAGCCAGTGCCACGCCCCCCAGAGGACTCTTGCGAGGCAGTGAAGTAGCCAAAACCACAGGACTTGGAAGAAAAGCAACAAACCACCCAATGTGCAGGCACTGCAGAGGAAGTGGGATGGGCATGGAGCTGGGTACTCACTGCCAGGAATCTTCCAGCGTTTTATCAAACATAATTTTCAGTCAAAACACGAAAGCAACCTCCAAAGCTTAACTTGTGAATGCAGTGACAGCAGGCATTAAAGGTGGAGTGCACCAACCTGGACCCACTGCACCAGTTAGAAGCCCTGGAGTGGGCACACTGCCTAGACTGCCCAACACACCTGCCACAGCTCAGAGTGGTGGCTGCGGCACGCGGGCACACCTCAGAAAACACCCGTGCGTAAGGCAGCACTGTGTCCACGTCGCCAGCAGAAAAGAGCACTGTGCCAAGCCCCCCTTAACAAATGAGACAGAAAACACAAGGGTGAAATGCAGAAATAGGGGCGGGAGGGGAGAAGGGCGGCTGGGGAACCAGGAGAGATGTGCTCCGCACCCGGCCCCGCCGTGGGGCCCAGCAGCTCAGGAGCACTGAGCGCACGCCCAGCTGAGCCTCAGGAAGACACCTGGGGAGACAAAACTTGTTTTCCATAGATATGAAGTGAGAGCAATGCTGTCAGGGCAAGGAGAGGCCCTTCTGCTGGTCTGGCTGCCTGCGGGGTAGGGGAGCGTGACCTCGGAACTCCTGAGGTGGCTGCGCCAGCAGGGGCCTGGCCTGGCCTCCGTCTCCCACAAGGCTCCACTTGAGGGCTTCAGGAACAGGCCATGCCAACACTGAGGGCCAGGCTGGCCAGGCTGCTGCAGCCCAGGGCTGAGGAGCAGAATGCCACAGTTGCAGGCCGTCGGAGTGACCCTCAGGAAAGTGTCAGTGCCAACATGAAGTACCCTGGGTGCTCGCAGGCGCCCTGCGCCACGCCCAGCAGCAGGCGGGGACTCAGCACGATGGCATCTACTCGCATGCAACCGTCCATGCAGAGGGCGGCTGCTCCGAGCGTTCGGAGGCGTTGGGACAGAGGTGGGGCTCCACTTGGAGGACAGGGCAGCAGAGAGCAGGTCAGAGAGCCATGAGGGCAAACTGCGTAAGAGACTGCGGAGGCGACAAGGACACTGAGGGCTCTAGGAGTCCTGAGCTCACCCCAAGTTCAAGCACAGCGCCCACCCTCAGGGAATAAGAGCTTAGGCAAACGAGCAGAGGGGAGCATTGCATCTTAAGCAGTTTTAGACAGACAGCATTACTGAGTTTTATCTGTGCATAAAGCAGACTGGCTCAGATTAGAAGTGAGGAGGGTCGGGGGGCTGGGTTCCCAAAGCCTCCGAAGCCGCAGCGCCCGGCTCGCTCTACGTCATCTAACTACGAACAGTAAGGTAGGCACAGACCAAGCAGTTGGTAATACAGCTTGGCACGCAGACACCGGACGAGAGAGACTGCAGCAAGGGTGTCACGTGATCGTGTGTAATGTTCGTCCACACCTTAGTCTTCGACTTGGGGCTGCTCCCGCTCTGCCCTTCCTCAGAGGCCCCATCAGCCCGGCCAGAGCTCAGCCACTTCGTCTTCTCCCGCTGCTGCTTCTGAAAACTGTGTCTGAGGGGGGAGCAAGTGCCCGAGTCGCCATCGCTAGCAAAGGAGTGGCCTGGGACACTGGCAGGGGCTTCCACGTCGCCGCACTTTTTAGATTTCTCTCTCAGAGCAGGGTATCGGTAAGGATAGCCGGTTCTGTAGCCCTAGGACACAGAGAACGAAGGAGTCACTGGAGCGCTCTCCCGACAGACTGCCCTCGGCAGTGTGAGGGACTCTCCAGAGCCACCACACACAGACCGGATGCAGCAAGGCTGTGGCCATGCCCTCGCTCGACAGGGAACACGCAGGGGAACCGGACTGCAAACACCCAGGAGTCCAGCACGAGTGGAGGGCAAGAGCTGAAGTTAGGTCACACAATGAAATACCCCAAGGAAGCACACAGGTGACTCACAAGACAGACATTCAATAAAAACAAACCACACGCACAACAGTTCCAGGCAGAGTCCTGCAGGAATAGGCTCAGAAGAGGCAAAGTCCCTCTTTAGGGCTAGAGATGGGGGAGTGGGCTCCATGGGAGGACAGACTAAAAATGCGAGTCAGGGCCTGCTGAGGGCCTATTGAGGGCCTGCTGAGGGCCTGCTGAGGACTGCTGAGGCCTGCTGAGGCCTGCTGAGGGCTGCTGAGGGCCTGCTGAGGGCTGCTGAGGGCCTGCTGAGGGCTGCTGAGTCCTGCTGAGGCCTGCTGAGGGCCTGCTGAGGGCTGCTGAGGGCTGCTGAGGGCCTGCTGAGGGCTGCTGAGTCCTGCTGAGGGCCTGCTGAGGGCCTGCTGAGGCCTGCTGAGGGCTGCTGAGGGCCTGCTGAGGGCTGCTGAGGGCTGCTGAGGGCCTGCTGAGGGCCTGCTGAGGCCTGCTGAGGGCCTGCTGAGGGCTGCTGAGGGCTGCTGAGGGCTGCTGAGGGCTGCTGAGGGCTGCTGAGGGCCTGCTGAGGGCCTGCTGAGGCCTGCTGAGGGCTGCTGAGGGCTGCTGAGGGCTGCCGGGGCCTGCTGAGGGCTGCCGAGGGCTGCCGGGGCCTGCTGAGGGCTGCCGAGGCCTGCTGAGGGCCTGCTGAGGGCCTGCTGAGGGCTGCTGAGGGCCTGCTGAGGGCCTGCTGAGGGCTGCTGAGTCCTGCTGAGGGCCTGCTGAGGCCTGCTGAGGGCTGCTGAGGGCCTGCTGAGGCCTGCTGAGTCCTGCTGAGGGCTGCTGAGGGCTGCTGAGGGCCTGCTGAGGGCCTGCTGAGGGCCTGCTGAGGGCCTGCTGAGGGCCTGCTGAGGGCTGCTGAGGGCCTGCTGAGTCCTGCTGAGTCCTGCTGAGGGCTGCTGAGTCCTGCTGAGGCCTGCTGAGGGCCTGCTGAGGGCCTGCTAAGGGCTGCTGAGTCCTGCTGAGGCCTGCTGAGGCCTGCTGAGGGCCTGCTTACGGTTCAGAGTTGATGACACCAACAGTCTGTAAGCCAGCCTGCTATGCACTCCACTTCAATGTAAAGTTAAACTGAAGCATAGGCTGGCGTCTTTCACCACTGCTCATGCTTGTTAATCAATTACTCATCATTTTGCCTTTAGTTATACATTAAATACCACGATGGTCTTCAAGAATCCCCATGTCGGCACAGTTCACATCAATGCTGACTCCCAGCAAATGTACTCACGTCTACACACTGCTTTACAAGCTGACACCAATCCTCACGCCGTGCCGGGCAAGTTCACCACCCGTCCCTGGGGCAAGGAGAGTGCTATGCCACCTGCCCAATTCCTGTTCTCAGCATCTTGTGGCAGGAGTGGACCTCAGTGGTCCCAAGGTCCCACTTCTTTAGGGGCTTGGGGTGACCTCTAGCCAATGAGACACATACAGGTGAGTAGCAGGCTGGACATGATCTCATGTCTCTCCAGGACTGGCACAGCTCTGATTAAACCAGCCCCAGCCGAGGAAGCCTGCGAGTGGACCCGCCGCTTCTTCTAAAGATTCACTTATTTCAGGCAGACTCTAGGACACGGCTGTTCTGTGTTTTTAAGATTTACTTTTATTGTAAAGGCAGATTTGCACAGAGAAGGAAAGGAGAGACAGAGAAAGATCTTCCATCTACTGGTCCACTCCCCAAATGGCTGCAATGGCCAGAGATGGGCTGATCCAGAGCCAGGAGCCAGAAGCCTCTTTCAGGTCTCCCACGCAGGTGCAGGGTCCCAAGGCTTTGAGCTGTCCTCGACAGCTTTCCCAGGCCACAGGCAGGGAGCTAGAAGGGAAGTGGAGCTGCTGGGACACAAACCAGCACCCAGAAGGGGTGCTGATGCTTGCAGGGGGAGGATGAGCCCGTTAAGCCATCAGGCTGGCCCTGACATACAGTTGGTTAAGCTTTTCCTGCAGTACCTGCATCCCTTACTGGCACCGGTTAGGGTTCCAGCAACTCCACCTCCAATCCAACCCCTGCTAATGCACTTAAGAAAAATAGGGAAACATGGCCCAGGTTCTTGGGCCCCAGCACCACATGGGAGACCTAGAAGAAGCTCCTGACTCTTGACTTCAGACCAGCCCAGCTCCAGCCACTGTGGCCATTTAAGGAGTGAACCGACGAACAGAAGAGCTCTGTCTCTCCTTCTCTCTCTGTAAACCTGCCTTTTAAATAAAAATAAATAAATATTTACAACATTATTTACTTGGGATGGGGGCTGGTGTAGTGGTCTATTAGGCTAGTCCCCCGCCTGCGGTATTGGCATCCCGTGTGGGTGGCCAGTTCTAGTCCTGACTGCGCTAATTCTGACCCCGCTTCATGTAACAGCCTAGGAAAGCAGTGAAGCATGGCCCAAGATCTTGGACCCCTGCACTCAAGTAGGAGACATGAAGGAAGCTCCTGGCTTCAGAGCAGCTCAGCTCCAGCCACTGCAGCCATTTGGAGAGGGAACCCAGCAGATAGAAGAGCTCTCTGCCTTTCCCTCCTCTTTCTCTCTGTAACTCTGACTTTAAAATAATAAACAGACCTTTTTTAAGTGTCAAAAAAGTTGTCAAAAACATCTATTTGAAAGAGAGCGCTTCCATCCACTTGTTCACTCCCCAAAGGGTCACCCCCGCCACGGCTGGGCCAGGCTGAAGGCAGGAGCCAGCACCTTCCTCCAGGTGTCCCACGTGGGCAACAGGCCCCGAGCACTTGAGCTCTCTTTCCTTGCTTTTCCCAGGCCATTAGCAGGCAGCAGTCAGGAGGGATACCAGCCGAGCCCCATGCTGGATGCTGGCACTGAAGGCGGCCACTTTGCCGGCTGAGCCACAGCACTGGCCTCAGCCAAGCCTGCTGGGGAGGAGCCAGGCCTGGCCGAACTCTGGTGGAAGCCTCTGAGAGTGGGGCTGAGGGTAGCTATGCTGGACTCCTGACCCACAGAAACCAGGAAAAAACAAATGTCACTAAGCTACAAGAAGCACACACAGCACAGCCATAGGTGTCCGCCAAGCTATCAGCACTATCAATCCTCACCCGAACCTGAACCCGAACCCAGTAAACAACCGAAAGCTGAGCGTGGAAGGGCTTTTCAGGGCCAGCTGCGGAAAGGCCACCGTGCACTGGGTTAGGGTCGGGGTCTTCCCTGTGGCCCCTTCACAGCCCAGCGCCCCCGAGGAGCACAGGAGCAAGCGAAGGTACCCCGTGGCTTTGCTCCGTGTCCTCACAGAAACCTGCTCTCAGGGGAGCAGGCATTAACCGAACCATGTTGTGCCACAGCTCCTGCAGGAAGCGGCGTGAGGCAGGGGGAGGGTGGTCAGTTCCCACAGAACACGGTATGCAGGCCGCAAACACCCAACTGAGCTGGAGCGACAGAGGTAGGTTGACTCCTGTCCCCAGCCCAGGACTGTCTTAGAGCTGAGACACCAGTGCTGCTCACAGACCCAGCCCCTGGGTGTGACCTTTTAGCTCTCGCCACCAAGCAGCCCCTCCTCCCTTACCAGGTTGTCCAGCATCCGCATGAGGGCCTCAAACTCCTGCTCGCCCATCTGCCACTGAGGAGCCGGTGCAGGGCCTTCCCCCGCAGGGGGCCCTGGAGAACGGGACTTGGCTTTGTACTTCCCAGGGTCCAGCAGGACTAAGTTGTCCGGTCCTCCTGTGCTGGCCAGAGTCCGAACCTTAAACACAGGAAGCGAAAGCATGAGCTGAGCCCTGCCTTAACCCTGAGCCCAGAGGGGAGAGGCCTAGGCGGCTGAGGGTGGCTGTGAGCAGCTGAGGGTATCTGTGGGTGGCTGTGGGCGGCTGAGGGTGGCTAAGGGTCTCTGGGCAGCTGAGGGTCTCTGTGGGCAGCTGAGGGAGGCTGTGGGAAGCTGAGGGTATCTGTGGGCGGCTGAGGGTGGCTAAGGGTGGCTAAGGGTGGCTAAGGGTGGCTGTAGGTAGCTGTGAGCAGCTGTGGGCGGCTATGGGTAGCTGTGGGCAGCTGTGGGTGGCTGTGGTTCAGGGCCTGTGCAAGAGGAAACAGCCCATCACCAGTCTACTTTTGGAGGTCTCCTTTAACCTGGCGAGGCACCGACATTCATGGTGGGGAGAAGGGAAGCACCTTCAGCCCTGTCCAGGGGACCTGGGCCCTCGCCGGCACCAGAGGCCTGCTCAGCCGGTCAGACAGCATGACTCTGGGGCAGAGGGGACCTGGGCCTTCACTGGCACCAGAGGCCCAGTCAGACAGCATGACCCTAGGGTGGAGCGGGCAACTGGCAAACTTTTCCAACTGAGACCCTGAGGGCAGCTCTCCCTGCCATAGCCTTCTGCCGGGAGGGCCACACAGAGCACCTGCTACTAGGTCTGACACACACCAGCACTCCCCAACGGGCCCAAGTCAGAGACGGAGAGCCCAGGCCTCTTCATCAGCTCAAGCCAAGCAGCGGCATCGGTCCTGGGCAGCCTTCACTCCCATGTGCTCCTCTGGCAGGGACTGCCCAAGGACTCGGCCCTGCCAGGCCCGGGCGGGGCCAGCACTTACCTGGATTTCACAGGCCACCACAAGGTTGTGGATGTAGTAGAAGGCCTCCTCCACGCTCTCTCCCACAGACACGAGCCCATGGTTGCGGAGAATGAGAACCTGAAGGGAAGACGAGGGGGCTCTGGGGAGCCCGGCGAGGGGCCAGCCCTCCCCACTGCCCCCCACACACCAGCACAGACACGCACTGACCTTGCTCCTGGGCCCCAGGTTCTTCTGAATCAAGACCTTCTCCTCCTCATCCACCAGGATGCCATGGTAGTCGTGGTAAGCCACTTCGCCAAGGGAAAGTGCCTCCGGGGAGATGGGCAAGAGGCCGCACTTCATGGCAGACACCTACGGAGCGGAGCGAGCAGCCGCGGTGAGGGCCCCGTGTGGCGGGGAGGGCTGCCAGGCCTCCTACGGGGACTGCACTCCCACGCCACACAGAGGAAGCACAGCGAGCACAGAACCGCTGGGACCTCAGAAAACACCCACGGGTCTGGGTGTCTGCCATGTCCACTTGGACTCAAGGCATGCTGCCGGAGCGCACAGCCGTCTGTCTGGAGGCTGCTGAGCACAACTCAGGTGGGGCCAGGAGGAAACCAACACGTTCTCTCCTCTGCGATGAGTTAAGGAAAGGGGAGTCTAAGCAGGTGTTCGCCTCCAAACACGCCAGCTCTGAGTCTTCTCCAGAAGGCAGCAACATGACCTCAGACCAGCAGGCCACAGAATACATAATAGCTAGAAGCATAATTCCACAGAGAGAACTTTCATTCGTGTGATTCTTCCCAAAGTGCCAGCCTCTGTATTCTGTGCCAGGCATTGCGGCACACCCAAGGTCAAGTCCTAGCTACTCCACTTCTGTTCCCGTGCCCAGATGTGGCACCTGGGAGGCAGCACACGATGTCCACCCACATGGGGGACTCAGGGAACTGGGTTGGAGCAAACGGCCAGCCATGCTTACGGACAGTTGGAATAGCACACAGCGTCAGGCTTTTACCCCACTAGTTGAATTACCTAGCAAATACAACTGACTGAGATCAGGAATCTTGTACAAAGTTAGACAGCCAGGAGCAGGGTGGGGACGCACAGTGGGACGAGCAGGAGCAGGGTGGGGATGCACCGTAGGAGGAGCAGGGCAGGGGTGGGGACGCAGAGTGAGAGGAGCAGGGCAGGAGTGGGGACACACAGTGAGAGGAGCAGAGCAGGGCAGGGGTGGGGACGTACAGTGAGAGGAGCAGGGCAGGGCAGGGGTGGGGACGTACAGTGAGAGGAGCAGGGCAGGGCAGGGGTGGGGACACACAGTGAGGGGAGCAGAGCAGGGCAGGGGTGGGGATGCAGCTACAGATCCTTATCCTGTGACTTCACCTTCCATTCTACATTTCTTAAAAATTTTATTTTATTCATTGAAAAGACAGAGAGAGACACTGCCATGTAAGGCTGGCACCCGTTCCAGGTCTTGTTCTGGGTCGTTGGCCCAAGCCTTCCCAGGCACATTAGCAGGAAGCAGGATGTGAACTCAAACCAGTGTTCACCTGGGATCCTGGCATGCAGGCAGCAGCCTGAAACACGGTACCACAACCCTGGCCCCAGACACCTCACCTAGGGGCAGCTTGGTGTCCGGGCCTCAATGTCCATTCTTCAGGCCAGCACACACGTCCTTCACATCCTAATGGCCCTTCTCTGAGCCACCGCCCCAGCCCCGCTTCTCCAACAAGTAGGCACTGCCACAGCTGTCACTCTGGCATGTCCCCCACCTCACACCAGACACACCTGATCCAGCTTTACATTTGGCACAGAAATTCAAACAGATCCTTCCAGAGGAAAAGAAACATCTCCTAAGAGTGTCACGGTGCCGGGAGGACACGAGGGATGCTGACCGCCTGCGCCCAGCACACGCTGCAGGCAGCACGTACTCACCGCGGCGCCCGCGGGCGTGTGGGTATGCACAATGCACTTCACGTCCGGCCGTGCAGCGTAAATCGCCGAGTGCAGTGTGAAGCCGGCCTGGTTCACGCCTAGGTTAGTGCTTCCACGGTCCACAATGTCACCTTGGAGATTGACCTTGACCTGAAAATAAAAAACAAGGTCAGGATGCAAAGCACCCCAGACAGCAAGCGCAAAGTACAGCTTCTCAAACAGACCCAGAAGTGACACAGAGGCCAAGGACAGGCTGTCTTACCAAGCTGGACGCTGTCACCTCGCTGTAAAGCAGTCCAAAAGGCACGATGAGGAAGTGCTCCTGCTCAGAGCTCACTCTCGTCTGTGGGGACAAAGGCAGAGCTGGCACACACCCTGATATCACCATCCTGCACGGACGTGGGGGGTGCTGGGGCGGCAGCGGAGCCCGTGGGGGGGCCTCCTGCCGGGCCCGGGGGGTGTGGGGAGTGCTGGGGGTGTCAGCTGAGTTGGGGGGGCGCTCCTGCCTGGCCCGGGGGCTGTGGGAAGTACTGGGGTCCCTCCAGCACTGGGACTGCACAGCGCCAGGAGACCCAAGAGCTTCTGAACAACACCGTGTAGCAACCTGTCAAACACCAAGGCAGCATCTCAGACACACCACCATGGTCTGTGTGTGGATGACCCCGCAGCCTCTGCCAGTGACCCCCGATTCGCAGCAGCTCAGGCACCAAGGTGCCACTCGTCGGAGCACAGCACCAAGACCAACCCTTAGGCCCTGAAGTCAGTGACCCCACCACCTCCCTGACCCTACACAATGACGGACAGCACAATGCCGCCCAAGACAGGCTCTGCCCGACCCTGGGCCAAGGCCACTCTCTGCAGATCTGGTGCACTCTGAACAAGAGGGCCACACGGAAAAACAGTGCTGCCCGCAGAAAGACGGCTTTGCTTCACAGTGAGCTGGGTCAGACAGACAAGACTGCCTGAGATGAGAACGGGGGTCCTGGCCGGGGCAGGGAGGGGGACTTAATGTTCACTGGACAGCACTTGATGGACACGGCCCGACTTCTCACCTAAAGCAGGGAGCTCCCCCGTGGGCCACACAGAAACACACCCAGGCCTGCCCGGGCAGTTGCAGCGCCGGGCAAGTATTTACAGAGAGCTGAGGTGTCACAGGCACCATGGTGCTGGGGTAAACACACGGGCCGCCTGCGCAGAGCAAATCATCAGCAAGTCCTTGCCAGACATATGTCGTCCTGTGCCTCCCAGTGTTCCTTCTAATGCACTGCTGAACACACAGATCACACAGCACACAGAGCACACAGATCACAGATCACACAGCACTGATCACACAGATCACAGATCACAGAGCACACAGCACAGATCACAGATCACACAGATCACACAGCACACAGATCACACAGCACAGATCACAGATCACACAGCACACAGCACAGATCACAGATCACACAGATCACACAGCACACAGAGCACACAGATCACAGATCACACAGCACTGATCACACAGATCACACAGCACAGATCACACAGATCACACAGATCACACAGCACAGATCACACAGATCACACAGCACAGATCACACAGATCACACAGCACAGATCACAGATCACACAGCACAGATCACACAGCACAGATCACACAGATCACACAGCACAGATCACAGAGCACAGAGCACAGATCACAGATCACACAGCACACAGCACAGATCACAGATCACACAGATCACACAGCACACAGATCACAGAGCACAGATCACACAGATCACAGAGCACAGATCACACAGATCACACAGCACAGATCACACAGCACAGATCACACAGCACACAGAGCACACTGCCGAAAACTCACAGCACGCAACACATGCCTAGCACACAGCACCAGACAAGCTCCACCCACCCTCAGCACAGTGTGATTCTCAAGCCTTTGAGATCACACTCTCTCCCCTGAGGTCACGCCAATGCTCATGACACGTGATTCTCTCACCATGCTATCACAAGACCCACAGCCAGTTGAGGCTTGAGTTTTAGGTCCAGCAGGTAGCCTGGTGGCTATAGTCCTCGCTTTATACGCACCAGGATCAATAAGGGCACCGGTTTGTGTCCCAGTAGTCCCGCTTCCCATCCAGCTCCCTGCTTGTGGCCTGAGAAAGCTGTTAAGGACACCCCAAAGCCTTGGGACCCTGCACCCATGTGAGAGACTCGGAGGAGGCTCCTGGCTTCGGATCAGCATATCTCCAGCCGCTGTGGCCACTTGGGGAATGAATCAACGAACAGAAGATTTTCCTCTATGTCTCTCCTCCTCTCTGAATATCTGATCTTGCAATAAAAATAAATAATTCTTCAAAAAAAACCAGGCTCAAGTTCCAGTCCCTGCTCTGCCAAGAACTGGCTCCCCTGAGCCTGACTGTGAGGACCCGGCCTCCGTCCCAGCCAGGGCAGCCCTGCACCTCTCACTGCAGCACTCCACTGCCACATCAAGCGCCCTGCCAATGCTGGGAGCCACTTCTCTGCCTCCAGTGCTCCCAAAGCACGCTGTGGCCCCACCTCCTGCCAACAGCCTCCCGGCAGTGAAGGAACCACTCCTGCTGTTTCCATTTGCAAAAGCATCTGGATCTCACTTCACTTACAGCAAAAACTAGGCAATTGTGTAATCCCCACCCCTGCCCACAAATAAAACAAGGTCAACAACTTCTGATTTATTGATTGGAATGGAATAAAAGTCAGGGCTTTTTTGGCTTATTTAAAGAGTATTTAGAAGGCTATGACTACCTAAACATAACGATAGATCAGAAGTGTGCCCATCACACAGCTAAGAGGCACCAGCGCCCCAACGCTGCTGCAGCCATGGCTGGCACACCGCAGCAGAGCACTGTGCTGCGCACCAGCTTGCTCGACACTCATTCCTCAGCACACACAGCGCCCAGAGTGGGGCCCCGTGGGTACCACATGGGTGCAGGGGCCCAAACACCTGAATCACGCGGCAGGGAGCCCTTGTCTCAGTACTGCTGTGGCCTCTCCTCAGGGCCCTCTCCTCACCGCCGGCCCGGATGCCTGTGCCTGGCCAGTCTATTCCTACGGCAACAGACATGCTTTTTAGCTGCCACTGCTGTTTGTCTGTGTTTGTCTAAAGATTTGCTTTTATTTGAAAGGCAGATTTCTTAAAAAGATTAACCAGCTGAACTATTGTGCCAGCTCCTTGAAAAACAGATTTAGAGAGAAGCAGAGACAGAGTAAGATTCTCCACTGGTCTACCACGCAAGTGGCCATAACAGCCTGAGCTGAGCCAATCTGAAGCAAGGAGCCAGAAGCTTCTTCTGGGTATCCCACATGGGTGCAGGGGCCGAAACACCTGAACCATCCTCCACTGCTCTCCCAGGAGCATCAGCAGGGAGCTGGATCGGAAGCGGGGCAGGTGGGACTGGAAATAGCAGCCACGTGAGATGCCAGCATTGGCAGGCTGAAGATCCACCACACCAACCCCTCAATTGTTTTTTTTAAGATTTATTTATTTATTTGAAAGGTAGAGCAACAGCGACATCAGGAGAGACATAGACAGAACTTCCATCTGCTGGTTCACCCACACGTAATCCTAACAGGCAAGAAGCCCAGGGGATCTGCCCTGCTCTGTCTTGTCATGCAGAGCAACATGTGGCAGGAGAGCCCCTGCCCGCTGGCCCGCTGTGCCCTGCGAGCAGGAGTCCCTGGCTGGCTGTGCCCTGTGAACAGGAGTCCCTGGCTGGCTGGCTGGCTGTGCCTTGCGAGCATTGAGCTCTTGCATACGCCATGCCGAGTCCGCGGCATGGCCCCATGCCATGGCACTACCCGCCCTCCGTCCACACAGACGTCACACAGCTATTCCAAAGGTGCTCGTGTCTGTCACCTTCAGCTCCTCATGTTTTCACAGCGTCTGTATAATGACTCTTCACAGCTGACAACATTCTTTCAAGTTGCTGAATCATTCAGTTACACATTTTCCACTCTGTGGATAGTGCTGTTGCATAGTATGTTAAGTCTCTGCCTGAGGCTCCAGCAACCCTTATGAACACTGGTTCAAGTACCAGCTGCTCCAATTCCAATCCAGCCCCCAGCTGATATGCCTGGAGAAGCAGAAGAGGACGGCAAACTGCTTGGGCCCCTGCACCCATGTGGAAACCCCAAAAGAAGCTCCTGGCTTTGGGCTGGTCGAGCTCCGGCCATTGCAGCCACGTGGGGAGTGAACCAGAGGATGGAAGATCTTTCTGTCTTTCCTCCTCTCTGTATATCTGACTTTCCAATAAAAAATAAATCTTCTAAAAAAGTCATTATTTAAGTTGTCGTAATTCACACATCTGCACAGTGCAGTGTTTGTCTAAACCATGAGCTTAGTAGGTGAGCACATTCAACAAGAAGAGCTAGGAATAGCGCAGTGCTCAGTCTGAGTGGATGGAGAGCGCCCAGTGGGGACAGAGCACGGCCCTCTGGCCATGCGCCCAGCCACCACCCTTCTTGAGGCAGGAGGGATGAGGCTTTGGGTAGCAAGCCTTCACGTGCTGGTGGTAACCATGCACCCCAACACAGTTTCCTGGAGACATCGAGACCCAGGCTCCCGGCCGGCACTGTGGTGGAGTGGATTACGCTGCCCCTGCGATGCTGGCCTCCCGTACGGGTACCGGTTTGTGCCCTGCTGCTCTGTTTGATCCCCTGGGGAAGCAGTGGGGGGTCATCCAAGTGTTTGGCCTCCATGCCCACTTGAGAGACCTGAAAGAAGCTTCCATCTGGACCAGCCCTGTTCATTGCAGCCATTTTGATGAAAGACAGTCTCTCTTAAGCCTGCTGTTCAAATAATAAATAAATAAAATCTTATTTTAAAAGCGCACACACACACACACCCCTCCACCAAAGGTCCCCTGTCTCCAGCGCAAAGCACTGCAATGTAGCAGCACCAAGCCCCTGCCACGCCCTCTAGGCGGCCACCCACACCGGGATGGAAAGGTGCAGGCATCAGCCAGGGCCCACCGAGGCAGGACAGCCAGCTCCCTGATCGCCTGGCCTGTCACTACACTCACAAACAAGATCTAACCGGATCAGCTCCAATCCTCTCACATCGGCCAGTGTTCTCAAATCCTCACGACCTTCCCCCGGGAGGGACAGAAGGACCTTACAGCCTTGCAGCAGCTTTCTCACCCGACAGGCAAACACACACACACACACAGCAAACTCAAGGCACCAGCTCTGTCACCGACAGGCAAACACAGCTCTGTTTCACGAGCTAACTTGGAATGAGGTGTTCACGTATGACGTGTGAACGCCCAGCATTTGAATTCTGCCAATTTAAAGGAAGAAAGAGCCTTTTAAGCAACTCAAGTGGGTTTCTACGGCATTGCAGCAGGATCCCAATCAACAGCTTCTTCACACCCACAAAGACTGTGCCAGGTACTCCTTCTTCTACTCTAACTCTTTGGGCATCAAGTCACACCAGAACACCAAGTCCAGTGCAAGGGCAAGGGCAGCCCTGGCAGGGCCCGATGACCCAGCACGGAAAGGCCCCGGTGGGTTCCCGCTCACCATCCTCTAAGACATGCAGGTCAGCTGGAGAGGTCACTTCCTCATTCTCCTGAGACAAGCTGCCACGTGCCAGGCTCAGTCCCAGAGCCACAGAGTCGCCACGGCACTGACCCGCCAGCAGATTGGCACACGAGCAAGCAATGCGCAGAATGGATGCGTGGGGTTTCAAGCCTCAGGCTCACTCTGAAACGCTCACTGAGCTGGGGTACAGCAAGCAGGTGAAGCTGCCGCTTCAAGACCCGCTCAGCTGCTTCCCACCAGCTCTCCACTCATGTGCTGGTGGCAGGCAGTGACGGCCCGCGTGTGGGGAACCCAACCTGGCAGCCCTGGCTGTTGTGAGCATTTGGGAAGTAAGCCAACAAGTGAAGATGTTGCTTTCGCTCCTTCAAGTACATGAAAATAGATCAAAGAGAAACTATGCAGATTCCTCACCTTAAAAAACTTTCATTTTAGGGAATAACGGAACATGCATCCCTGCTTTCAGACGAAGAATGGATTCCCAATGAAATGGTCGGACAAGTGTAGACAGTGGGATGCTGCACTGCCTGACACAGTCTGTACCAACAGTGTCGGGGACATGTGAATAAGAGACTGATGGAATTACGATTCCTTATGAACAACTACACTATTTTAGTAAAATGGAGAAAATCTGCCAGGGATGGGAGTTTTGGGGGGGAATCCCAGCCAATATGAAATTGTACCACATAATTCAGAATTCAAAATAAAAATATATATTAAAAAAAACTCACTTTAGCAGTGACAAGGAGACTAGAAAAAGAACAACTTATCTATAGTAGGAACCAGGAACAAGTGCCCAAAGCCCCGTGCCCACGGGGACCCCCACACCCTCAATGAAGCCTGTGCCCACGGGGAACCCCACACCCTCCATGAAGCCCCGTGCCCACGGGGACCCCCACGTCCACACGGGCTCTGAGGAAGTCCTGCTGGTCGTTGAGTTCACACACGGAAAGGCCAGCCAAGTACTTATTAGCACTGGACGCCTCACGCAGTACTGGCCGGCCTGCCAACTCTGTCCTTGATGAAAGGCGGAAGGCTGAGCAGGACAGATGCTCCCTCTGCTGCTTTCCCCAAGAACCTGCCACAGTTACAGCTCGGTCAGGCTGCACCCAGGAGCCAGGAGCTTCCTCTGGGTCTCCCACGTAGGTGGCAGAGACCTAGGTCCTCTGGCATGATCCTCTGCCTTCCGGAAGCATGAGCAGGGTGCTGGGGGATGTACGGAGGAGCTGGGACCCAAACCAGACACTGCGATATAGGGCGCAGCCCGTCCAGATGGCAGCTTAACCTTAAAACACCCAGGTGAGGTGTACATGTTACAGCAGGCGGCACCAGATCAGTAATTTCAATATCAAATAAAAGAAATTAAATGGAAAATAATGAAACAAGTTTAAAAATCAAAGGAAGCAAGCAGTTTAAGGAGAGAAGCTACTCCACACGAGACTGAAGGAGAAAACAGTGCCTGCCAACGGACTCAGAGGCAGGTCAGGAAGCCCGGCCAGCTGCAGGCAGAGCTGGGACAGGGGCCGTGCTCAGCATGGTTGCAGGCATCAGGGGGCTCCCCTGGTTTTTGGGAGGCGATGGGGTGAGGTACTTGGAAAACAGAAAGGAGGCCTAGGTCTGAGAGAGTGTGAGGCAGACTGCCTGGGGCTGCTGGCAGGGCCCGGGTCCTCCGAGGCAGTGCCATAGAAAAGGCAAACTACTGGAGGCAAGCAAGCCAGACGGAGAAGCAGGGCTGAGCTGCTCACTGCTCACAGGGCGGACACAGCTCAGCTGCCACACAATCTGACACAGAGAGGACACAGCTACTAGGATCTGTACAACAAAGTGAAAAAAGAGAGAGCGCACGAGAGGGCCTAGAGCCCAGCACAATGGCTCTCAATTGGCTAAATGCTCACCTTGCCAGAATCCCATAGGGTGTCAGATCATGTCCCGCTGCCCCACTTCCCATCCAGCCTCCCGGCCGTGGCCTGGGAAAGCAATGGAGGACGGCCCAAAGCCTCGGGACCCTGCACCCGTGTGGGAGACCCGGAAGAGGCTCCTGGCGCCTGGCTTCGGACTGGTTCAGCTCCAGTTGTTGGGGCTATTTGGGAGAAAACCAGTGGATGGAAATTTTTTCTCTCTGCTTCTCTCCATAAGTCTGATGTCTTTCCAATATAAATAAATAAATCTTTGGGAAAAAAAAGGAAGAAGAAAAGAAAGGCTCATGGAGCTGAGAAGTGGTTCACAGAACGAGCATGGATGGGATGCTGTCTGAGCTGGGCTCCTCACACAACTGCAACATGCAATGAACATGGCAGAGCGCAAGGGGGCTCTTCCGGGCTGTGGCCCACTGCAGCGGGTCCCCAGAGGGCTGCGTCCACGCAGGCTCGGTGCCCTGGTCACCACCCGCTTCCCACTCACGGTGATGTGGTTGTAGATGAGCTGGGACCACCCAAAGAGGTCAGCCAGGCGGTAGAAGGCGGCCAGCTTGCAGCGAAGCAGCTTCTCCCCTTTGTCGTATGCGATGGAATCCGACCCTCTCAGGTCATTCACCGGGGTCACCATGCCAAGACCTGAAACCAGCACTGACGTCGGTCATTTGCTTCTTGCTTTCGTCTCTCCCTCACTCCCCCTCCCTCTCTCCACTTTTCGTTTTAAAGATTTGCTTATCCACCACAAAGTCAGGGTTACAGAGGAAAAGAGCTCTTCCATCTGCTAGTTCACTCCCCAAATGGCCACACAGCTAGAGCTGAGCTGGTCTGAAACCAGAAGCCAGGAGCTTTATCTGGGTCTCCCACGTGGGTGCAGAGGCCCAAGGACCTGAGCCATCCTCCACTGCCTTCCCAGGACATAAGCAGAGACAGATCAGAAGTGCAGCAGCTGACTCACAGTGCTCACATGGGACGCCAGTGCCACAGAACAAAGGGTTAACTGGCTGTGCCTGAGCCAGTGTCCCAGCTTCTGTTTTAATCCTAAGGCCTTTAGAAAATGTTTCTTCTTTGCTAGTAGAGTTCAAGGCTGTGATATTTCCTGCTAAGCAAAGATCCAGCATGCCACCCACGCGGGTTCAAGCCCAGCTTTCAACTCCCAGTCAAGCTCCGTGTGACAGCACCTGGGGAGAAAGCAGCAGATGGACCCAGCGTGGGCCCGAGACCAGAGTCCAGGAGGAAACAAATGGCCTGGCCCCGACCTGGCTCCTGTGGGCTTCTGGGTTGGGAACCTGTGAAAAAACCAGCTCTCTATCATTCTCTCTGCCTCCTCCTTTTTGTTGCTCTGCCTTCCAAATATAAAGATTTACTTTTTTTTTTTATTATTATTGGAAAGGCAGATATAGGAAGGAAAGACAGACCTTGCATCTGCTGGTGCACTCCCCAGGTGGCTGAAGCAACTGGAGCTGAGTCGATCCGAAGCATGAGCTTCTGGGTCTCCCATGTGGTGCAGGTCCCAAGGCCTTGGGCCATCCTCGACTGCTTCCCCAGGCCACAGGCAGGGAGCTGGATGGGCAGTGGGGCACCAGGACACGAACCCACACCCATACAGGATCCCTGCACACTCAAGGTGAGGACTTTTACCCCTAGGGTACTGCAATTCAATCTTAAAATCATTTCTTCTTGAGTAAAAAGGGTTCTGAGATGTTTGTCATCCACATCAGCCCAGGAATTGAGTCTTAAAACGTCAAAACTATTTCACAAAGATCACGTTCTCCCACACAGTGTCAACATTACTGTACTCAACGCCAGCTCTATGGCATGCAGTAAAAACATATTTGGGAGACAATGTACAGCAATAAATATATATACAGTAAAAAGGAACTATTTAAAGGCTTTTTGATAAACACAAAATCTACGGGCTAGCACTGACACAGCATCTCCTATGGGCACTGGTTCAAGTCCCAGCTGCTCCCTACCAGTGCACCTGGGAAAGCAGTCAGGAATGGCCAAGTCCTGGGCCCTGCACCCACATGGGAGGCCCAGAAGAAGCTTCTAGGTCCCAGTTTGGACTGGCCCGACTGTGGCTTGGCGGCCATTTGACAAGGGACTCAGTAGATGAGAGAGCTCTGTCTTTCCTTTATTCTCTGCAACTTTGCCTTTCAGATAATAAACAAATCTTTACAAAATAAAAGTGGCTTTTCAGACAACAAATTCAGAAATAAATAAATTGTCTACATAAATTGTATTGTAAAAATAAAATAAACCTCTAGGCAGACTTATCCACAGGAGAGGTAGAAGCGAAGCGGCTGTGACGCCGTCACCACATCAGGACAATAAAGCACCGCGGGGCGATAGTGCAGGGGCTAAAGTCCTCGCCTTGCACGAGCCAGGATCCCATATGGGCGCCGGTTCTAATCCCGGCGGCCCCACTGCCCATCCAGCTCCCTGCCTGTGGCCTGGGAAAGCAGTCGAGGACGGCCCAAGGCCTTGGGACCCTGCGCCCATGTGGGAGACCTGGAAGAGTTCCTGGCTCCTGGCTTCGGATTGGCTCAGCTCTGCCCGTTGTGGCCGCTTGGGGAGTGAATCATCGGATGGAAGATCTTCCTCTCTGTCTCTCTTCCTCTCTGTATATCCGCTTTTCCAAGAAAAACAAATAAATCTTAAAAAAAAAAAAAAAAAGCATCAGAAGGGGTCACAGAGAGCCACGCGAGTGAATTCCTTCCCTCAGATGGATGCTTTGAGAAGCACAGCTCTAAAAGTACAAAGCGACAGGCAGCCCTGTGCCTAGGAAGCTAAATTCGCTGTTTAAAAACATTTGCAGGGCTGGCACTGTGGTGCAAGTTAAGCCTTCCTATATAATGCTGGTATCCCAAATGGCTGCTGGTTCAAGTCCTGGCTGCTCCACTTCCCACTGGCTCCCTGCTTGCAAGTTACAGACACAGAAGATGGCTCAAGTGCTTGGGTCCTGACCCATGTGGGGGGTCTGGGTAAACGGGGTGGCACTGTGACACAGCAGGTTAAGCCACTGCCTGTAGCACCAGCAGCCCCAACTGCACTGGTTTGCGTCTCAGCTGTTCCACCTCCAACCCAGTTCCTTGCTAATATGCCTGGAAAAGCAGCAGAGGATGGCCAAGGCTTTGGGCCCTGTGCCCACGTGAGAGACCAGGAGGAAGCCCCCGGCTCCTTGCTCCAGCCTGGCCCAGCACTGGCCATTGCAAACATCCGGGAAGTGAACCAATAAATGGAAAATCTGTCTCCCCTCTCTCTGTGTAGCTCTTTCGAAATACTTTTTTTAGTAACAGATGTTCATCAGCTTATGAAAAACAAACCCCTCTAAACACAAAACAGTTTCAAGCTTACAACCGTCCCCTCCCGTGCCTGAAAACACCTCCATGTTCCAATGCTCCAGCGCGTCACAGGTGCACGCAGGAATCTCCAGGACCACCGCGCAGCACAGCCGTGCCCAGGAGCAGCCCTGCCCGGACCACCGCGCGGCACAGCCGTGCCCAGGAGCGGCCCTGCCCAGACCACTGCACGTCACAGCCGTGCCCAGGAGCGGCCCTGCCCAGACCACTGCACGTCACAGCTGTGCCTAGGAACCAGCCCTGCCCGGACTACTCACTCATGTTTAAGGCGGCCATCCCTCCTTGCGGCGCCGCTGGGTACACGTTGGGGACGTTCGTGGTCATGAAGTCTGCAATCTGCTGTAAAGCCAACAGGCCCGTAGGATTCTTCCCCTTCTTAAACTGCTCTTGTATCATGGACTCCAGCTCTTCACAGAACGCCTAGCGGAAGCAGGCCCACAGTGAGAAGGCTGGCAGGGGTGAGGAGGGAAGCAGGTGCAGGGTGATGACCGCAGGAACCAGGTTTTCTGCTTCCATGCAAGCTGAGACACACACACAGATGTTTCCACGCTCAACTGGGAATGTGAACCGCACGCCCTCAACAGGAGCTGCCTCCAGACCCAACAGAACGCCGGGCTCACCCTCAACAGGAGCAGCCAAACACAAGCCAGCGGTGCGGCAACGCGCTCGGCATATTGTTAGTCAAAAAGGTTACTCATGCAGCTTTTGTGGATGCAAACCTGACCAGCACTGAGGCAGGGCACTAGCTGAAGCCCAGCCCCGCGCTCACACCCTACTCTGGGACAATCACACTTCTCTGGCTGCAGACAACACGTGCACCTGATGGCAGCAGGGCCTGGCCCCAAGCCCCACTCCCTCTCAGAAGCACAAGTCAGTCACCCTGTTCCTCTCTGGGATTCCGGCTGTGCAACAAAAGGCTCCCTCAGGCACGGCTCGCTGTCTGGCCCAACGTCCACACTCCCACCTGGAAGGCGTTCTCTTCGGGCCACACTCACACAGCTCTGCCCGTCTCCGCCTCCAGGCCCCGGGGGCCTCCCAGGACCATGGACGCCCTCTCCTGCTCCGCCATGCTCAAGTCCTGGCGGAGGTCCACCTCTCCGACCACAGCACCCTAAGCCAGCCTCGGGCCTCCACGCCTCCCTGCTGGGGCTCACACACCCTGGGGGGGACCCTGCTGGGCCTCAGCACTGGCCTGCTTGTGCTAAATTTTTATCTTCTCTAATGGTCTGTAACTTCTGAGACTGGATAAGGGAGGTTACCAAAGTGCTGAGTGTGTCTGCACACGTATGTATATCCACAGACACACACACTTAACCTGGTGCACTTTACCATGTGTAATGAAAAACAGTGGGTGGCACTGAGGCATAGCGGGTAAAGCTCTCTGTGGGTTCCGGTTAACATCTTGGCTGCTCACTTCCGATCCACCTTCCTGCCAACGGCCTGGGAAAAGCAGCAGTGGGCGGCCCAAGTGATTGGGCCCCTGCTACCAATGCAAGAAACCTGGAAGATGCCGGCTCCTGGTACGGGCCTGGTTCAGCCCTAGTGACTGCCACCATCTGGGCAGTGAAGCAGCACATGCAAGATCTCCCTCGAACTATTTCAAACAATTCTTTCAAAATCTAAATTACTTTTTAGGACCCGGTGCAGTAGCCTAGCAGCTAAAGTCCACCTTGTATGTGCTGGGATCCCATATGGGCGCCGGTTCTAATCCTGGCAGCCCCACTTCCCATCCAGCTCCCTGCCTGTGGCCGGGAAAGCAGTGGAGGACGGCCCAAAGCCTTGGAACCCTGCACCCGTGTGGGAGACCTGGAAGAGGCTCCTGGCTTCAAATCAGCTCAGCTCTGGCTGTTGTGGCCACTTGGGGAGTGTATCAGCAGATGGAAGATCTTCCTCTCTGTCTCTCCTTTCTGTACATCTGAGTTTTCAATAAAAATAAATCTTTAAAAATTAAATTAAATTTTTAAAGTAACAATGAAACAAAATCTATTAGAGTGAAGACCTTTCCATGCCCTCTGTCCTGCAGAACCCCGGCTCCCCGAGGGCACGTGAGCCAATCAGGTCACACAGGCGGACAGAGCCGCCACGCCGCGCCTCCCGACCGGCTCGGGGAAGAGAACGGATGTAGAAGAAGAAAAATCTAAACAAACAAAAAAGCTGCTCGAGGGCCCAGCATGAAGCCAAGGAACTGTGAAGCCAGTGCTGCTGGCATGGCACGGGCACTGCAGCTGGGCACAGCTGGGGGACCAGGCCGCAGGCATCAGAGGAAGCCTTCATTTCTAAAGTGTTCCCAGCCAGAGAGGCAGGGCAGTGCAGGGGGCAGGCAGCGCGACCCCCCAGCACGCACAGCCCCGACACCTGCCGGCAGAGAAGCTTCTCGACTCACAGGGCTCTGCAGGATCATGGACACTCGCTTCTTCTGCTCCATCATGTTGAAGTCCTGGCGCAGGTCGGGCGCCATGTTCCTCTCCCGCAGGTATTCTGGATTGTTCTCATCCACTCTGTCGAAGTACCTCTCCTTGTGAGGGGCCGTGGTCGGGGGTGGCGAGGTCACCACCGCGGCCCGGGTATCACCATTCATGGCAGTCTCCTTTTAGGTTCTACGGAATCAAAACAAATAAAATGACTGTTTTCAAATCAATGTCTGGTAGCATTTCACGAGCCCACCACCGGGCAGACTCACACAGGAGCAGTGGACATCTGTTGGTGACCAGCTGCGCCATCAGCTCTGACGCTGTCGCAGTCACCACCCCGAGAGCCATCTCCTGACAAGCCCAAACGGAGCGACATCATCACTTCCGGAGAAATCCGGTCTCCAGTGTTTCCGGTGGGGATCTGGAGAAGAACTGTCCACACACACACTGACACCAACACGCCTGCAGGATGGCAGTGCTGTACCTGGGTTCAAGTCCCGGTCCCGCTCCCTCCCACTTTCCTACTAACAGGCTCAAATGCACGGGTCCTGCTGTCCTCAGCAAGGACTGAGATGGGAGTCCTGGGCCCTGCCTGCGGCAGCCCAGGCTGTGCAGCCACCTGGGAAGGAAAGCAGTATGTATCAGACTGTATGTAAGATGTATATGTACTCCTCGCCTCCCTCGCTCGCTCCCCTTCCGAACAAAGGGAAAAAGTTCATTTACGTGAAGAAACTAAGATCTTTTGACCCCGAAGTCCAGAGGACGCCCCTGCCGATGCAGACAAGCCAAGCGCTGGCTTTGTAACTGTTCAGGGAGTAAGCGAAACAATGGAAGATACCGCTAATTCTGCCTTTGAAATAGATGGATAAATCTTTTAAAAATAAAGAAAAAGATACTAGGGCCCTCCCAAAAGGCTGCGGGGAAGTAGAATTAAAAGACAAGCTTATTTTGGTGCAAAAATTGAGGGGCAAGCACTGTGGCACAGGGGTTAAACCACCGCCTCGGAGGCTGGAGTCCCACATTAGAGCACTGGTCCCAGCTGCCCCACTTCCATCCAGCTCCCTGCCTATGGCCTGGGAAAGCCACAGCCTTGGGACCTGCACCCGCGTGGGAGACCTGGGAGAGGCTCCTGGCTTCGGATCAGCTCAGCTCCAGCTATTGCAGACACTTGGGGAGTGTACCAGCAGATGGAAGACCTTTCTGTCTTTCTTTTTCTCTGTATAGATGCCTTTTCAATAAAAATAAATCTTACATTGCACATTTCCCCCACAGTTTAAAAAAAATCTTAAAAAAAATGTTTTAATAAGTTCATGGGAAACATACCTACGCACCTCCATGCATTGTGAAAAAGCCACCCATGTGTAGACGTAAAAATTTCTTGCACCAGAATAAATGTCTTAATTTTAAATTCCACTTTTCACAAACTTTCAAAAATAGGTGGTTGAGGTCTCTGAGGGACCAGGAAGGGATGAACCAAAGGGCACAGGTGTGAACACGACCCAGCCCTGGGACCCAGCAGGCACACTGCCTGGCACCCAGAACACGACCCAGCAGGCACACCACCTGGCACCCAATCACAGCCACCCAACCAAGAGGTCCACTCCACTCAGATCACACTGGCACCCTCAGATCCAACCCCATGACCCTGCTCTGCACTGGCACCTGGCTTGTGGGACTCTGTATTCCCACCTTGTCCACAGCCACTGTCAGACAGGACCCCATCATGACTAAAGGTTTCCCCACACCAGTGTGTGGGCTCGCAGAGACCCAGTGGGAGTTTCACAGGCAGCAAGGCCTGCCCTGTGGCACTGTAACTCCTGGAGGAAGGGAATCTGAGACCCGTCACCAGGACTCACCCAGCAGTAGCCCTGGCTGGAAGGAATGGCAGGGTTCTAACAGACGCGGAGAAGCTGCTGCTGGCAGCATGCAGGTAGAGGGCCTGGGAGAGCAGGGTGGGCAGCGCACACCGGCCACAGCGGTCAGAGGGGACCCAGGAGCACTGGCAGTCTCAGGGTCCTGAGGTTCAGTGGTGTCTCCCTGCAGCAGGGAGCACAAGCACAGAGGCCCAGGCGCCTGCTGAGAACACAAACCCTGCCAGCGTCAGCCTGAGCACACCCACCCTGCCAGCATCGGGCTGAGAACACCCAGCCCTGCCAGCGTCAGCCTGAGAACACCCACCCCTGCCAGTGACAGGCTGAGAACACCCACCCTGCCAGCATCAGGCTGAGAACACCCACCCCTGCCAGCGTCAGGCTGAGAACACCCACCCTGCCAGTGTCAGCCTGAGAACACCCACTCCTGCCAGCAACAGGCTGAGAACACCCACCCTGTCAGCGTCAGCCTGAGAACACCCACCCTGCCAGTGACAGGCTGAGAACACCCACCCTGCCAGCGTCAGGCTGAGAACACCCACCCTGCCAGCGTCAGGCTGAGAACACCCACCCCTGCCAGCGACAGGCTGAGAACACCCACCCTGCCAGCGTCAGGCTGAGAACACCCACTCCTGCCAGCGTCAGGCTGAGAACACCCACCCTGCCAGCGACAGGCTGCCTACCCTCCTTCGGACCTTGCAACAGAGAAAGCCACTGAATGCTCTGAGCTGATCGGATCACATCTATTCCTGTGCCCCAGATCCGACTGCTCAACACAGGATCCTGGCCAGGACGTGGCAGGCAGCCCCACCCCCAGTCAGGCGGCCAGGAGACTGACCAAGGCTGAATTTGACAAGTACATGCCTATGCTCCCACATGCAGCAGACCACTGTCCCTCAAGATTTCTGTGTATAAGCTGGAGAGCTAAATGAGTTCCAACAGTAGAGCAGCATCAGATTCAGAACAAGAATCCAAGACCAAGTTCACCTGCACTGCAGCCCAGGCATTCAGAGCCTGAGCAAGGGGACAGCGGGCCGGCACCCCGGGCCCTCTGCGGGGACAGCGGGCTAGCACCCCGGGCCCTCTGCGGGGACAGCGGGCCAGCACCCCGGGCCCTCTGCGGGGACAGCTGGCCTGCATAGTTGGCCGCCCCCAGGTCCTCTGTGGGACACTGCCCCTCACCCCCAGCACATCAGAGGGGTCACTAAGCATTGTTCCATAAAGGAATGGGAGTATGCTGTGTGCTGCAATGTTTATAAAACTTTTCCAAGGAAACAATTCTACTTAAACTCCTGCACCTGCAGAGGGCTGATACCCAAACAGCAGTCAGCAAGCGCCACACGAGCACATCACAATGAAGATTCCAGAGAAAGAATCCTGAAGCAGTAACTTTTCAAGCATTTTCTTAGTTTCACTTTATTTGAAATGCAGAAACAAAGAGAAAGACATCGTCCTTCCACACATTGTGTCCCTCTCCAAATGCCCAAAACAGCCATGGTCAAGGCAGGCCCAAGCCAGGAACTCAACACTCCGTCCAGGCCCCATGTGAGAGGTAGGACCCGGGCCATCATCACCTGCCACCTCCCATGCTGGACTGGAAGCCAGGCTTTGAACCAGGCGTGCCAACAGGATCTGCAGGAGACCAAAGCTGGCTTCTTAGTCACTCCTGGAACCTGTGCCCCCTGGAGACACTGCTGGCCACACCGATACACTGTCTCCCATCCAAGTACTAACCAGGCCCAACCCTGCTTAGCTTCCAAGATCAGACGAGATTGGGCACTTTCAGGGTGGTGTGGCCGTAGCTCCCAAACTGATGCATTGTCAACAACTGCCTGGGGAAAAAACTAGTACACAACTTTATCCTCTATGAGGTCAAATGCTTCCTCTACTTTGCTGCCTCATATTTTTTAAGATTTATTTATTTTCATTGGAAAGGCATATTTACAGAGAGATGGAGAAAGCTCTTCCGCCCATTGGTTCACTCCCCAAATGGCCACAATTGCTGGAGCTGAGCCAATTTGAAGCCAGGAGCCAGAGACTTTCTCCAGGTCTCCCATGCAGGTGCGGTGTCCCAAGAACTTGGAGCATCCTCCGTTGCTTTCCCAGGCCACAAGCAGGGAGCAGTCAGGACATAAACTGGCACCCACATGGCGACTGGAGTGGCCGCCTGGCCACTGTACTGCCCCCTCATTTTACTCTTACTGCCTGCCCTTCCATTACTATGTCGCTTTTATTTTGCAACTGCATTTTTGCTAAAGTTACAAAGTATACAAAAGTTTGCTGTGCTAAGATTCAAAACTTTTCCTGACTTTCACTGGACCAGGATAGGGGCTTGAGCTGGTTTTTACTCACTTTTTGGTGGGAAGGGATGAGAAAACTGGCAGGCTGGCGGAGAGCAAGATGAAGCCCCACAACCATACACAGGCCTTTTTGCCTCCTGCCGAAATTCAACGACCAGCAACTAAGTGTTGCTAGTTGTGAAGCAACTGGTTCCCGTGGGGGAGAAACGGCAAAGGGAGAGTCAGCAAGACCGACTAAAGCAGAACACAGCAGCGAGTGTGCTAGGAAAATGGGCTACATCCTGTCACATGAAAGCTGAAACACCAGCTCCTTTATTCCTCAAACTTCTGAAGGCAGTGCCAGCTTCTCCTTTTGAGGGTTAGGCAGAAAGCTTTTTTTTTTTTTTTAAGATTGCAAAATACGGGGCCCAGCTCAATGGCTACCCTGGCTAATCCTCCACTTGCTAGCGTTGGCATCCCATACGGGTGCCAGTTCATGTCCCAGCTGCTCCACTTCCCATCCAGCTCTCTGCCTGTGGCCTGGGAAGCAGCAGAAGACGGCCCAGGGACATGTATCCACATGGCAGACTTGGAGGCCTCTGGCTCCTGGCTTCAGATTGGCTCAGCTCCAGCCATTGCAGCCATTTGGGGAGTGAACCAGGGGATTAAAGATCTTTGTCTCTCTCTCCTTCTCTCTGTAAATCTTTCTAGTAAAAATAAATAAATCTTTTGTTAAAAACAAAAGACAGCTAGCTAAAATTTTGCAAAGACAAGCTCCCTGAACAAGCAGGGTGCCCAGAGATGGGGATTTAATAGTTTCTCTGTGTGGCCGGTGCCAGAGCAGCATCAGCTGAGACTGCTTGCAACACTGGCCTTCCAAAAGGGCACTGGTTCGAGTCCCAACTGCTCCACTCCAATCCTGTTCCCCCAGATGAAGTGGCCGAAGTCCATAGGCCCTGCGTGAGCGGCCCAGCAGCTCCGGGCTCCCAGCGCGTCCTGCAGACCTGTCCCGGTGCTTGCCAGGCACGTGGGCAGGCAGCTGCACTGGACCCAGATGCTCGCACAGATTCCGGCACTGCAAGTGGCAGGCTAACCTAGGGTACAACACTGTCCCGCCAAATAAGATCGGAAGTCTTCAAAAACTCCAAATGATATTTGAAACAATCATGAACATTTTCTAAAAGATGCATTTTACTTATCTGAAAGTCAGAGAGAGAGAGAGGTTTTTCATCTGCTGCTTTACTCTCCAAATGGCTGATGTTGGGTAATACAAAGCCTAGAGCCAGGAGTTTCTTCCCGCCCCCACCCAGGTACAAGTCCCAATGACTGGGGCCGCCTTCCCACTGCTTTCCCAGGACATTAGCAGGGAGCTGGGTGGGAAGTGGAGCAGTCCTTCCAAGATAGCAGCACTGCAGGTGTTGGCTAACTCACTAGGCCACAAGGCTGGCTCCCAATCATGAAGTTAAGCCCAAATGGGGAAAATATTTGCACATAAAGGCACGGCATCTGTCTCCGTCCTCACCAACCAGAGGACACAGAGGCAGCGCTGCACCAGGCGGCAGGCCCTCCCCAGCCTTCCACCCCAAGGAGGCAGGACTTCCTGCGGGGGACAGTGCCGTCTGGGGGAGGGACCCAGGTCCCGGCAGGGGTGAGGCAAGGGCATCGTGACGCAGGGGACAGGTGTGAGGGTGTTGGCCAGGTACACGCGCACACATCCGGGAAGGGACATGGGCTCCGTCGGGGAGTGTGGAGGGAGAAAATATTTCCTTAAGCAGCAAGTGACTTCATTTAAACTTTGACAAATTAGCAACTTACACAAAGGTGAAGAACAGAAGTGGTTCCCGTATTTCATGTTCACCAGGGGCAGGCTGCACTTGCAGCTCCTGCACAGCACCTGGCCCAGCAGGGCTGGGCTCCCTGGCGCCCTGACTTGTACCCTGTGGCCCCAGCAACCCGCGGGCACGTGGCACGGCCTCCTACAGGAACTGGCGAGAAAGGCCAGTGTAGCTGTCCCCTAGCTTTGCAGCTGCTCCTGTGTCCTCCCTCTGCTGCCCGAGCTTGCCGGGCACTGCGGACCCTGAGGGGCTGCTTCTGCCTGACCCTGTGCTAGTCATCACAGTGAGGCCCACGCGTGTGCACTATGAAAGCTGTTGCAGCCATTTGGAGAGTAAAGCAGCAGATGAAAGCTCTAACGCCAGCTTCCCTGTAGCTCCTGACCCTGGCCACACACTAGGAGTCTCCGGGCTAGCTCTACAAGACCGACCAGACCCCAGCCCACAACCCTAACTCGGGGTGGAGGCCAGCCGCCAGCAGTCAGGACACGGCCCAGCGAGCTGCTGGCTCCTGGCTCGGCCTCCAAGCCCACTGCCTGTGAGGCCGCAGCGGCTGAGGACCCAGACTCTGCCCCCCATACAGGGGAGACTCCAGTGGAGTCCCTGGCTCCTGGCTTCAGCCTGACCATCCTGCTGTGATGGGCATTTGGGGAGTGAGCAAGTCAGCTGGCAATCCTTCTGACTCCTTCAAATAAAATGAAAAGAAAAAAAAATTAGGTTCTCCAGGTAACTCAAATGCATAGTCACAGTTACACTCACAGCCCCGAACTCCGATGGTTCAGACTTGTGTGTCCCAATGCCAGCAGAGCAGTAAAACATCTCTTTGAATTTCACCAAAACCCAACTTTCTTGAACTACAGTTCTTCATCTCCCACAGGCTCCTTCTTCCATCTGGAAATCCTGTGAAAGTGTACTCAAGGGCCTGGCGCGAGGGGTCGGAGACTAAATCCTCAGTTTGCACGCACTGAGATCCCACATGGGCGCCGGTTCGTGTCCCAGCAGCTCCACTTCCCATCCAGTTCCCTGTCTGTGGCCTGCGAAAGCAGTGGAGGATT